TCTAGTATATTTTCTTCTAAAGTAGTCAATATTCCAATATATGTATATGTAAGATGAATTTAATTTTTATGCACTATGAATGCAAAAACATACATAAATTATATACATGAATGCATGTAGGTTTACTTGAAAGAATGTAGATATAGTAATGTAGTAATTTAAAATACTAGTTTTCTTTTGAGATTTGTGCCCAGTTATAAAATTACATATTTGTCTCTTTTGTGCAGACTGAAAATCAAAATGTGACATCATTATAATATATAGCGATTTCTCTATTTTAATTTTAAAAATGACCCATACTGTAATGAAGAATCACAGAAATATTAGGAAAACATTTAAAAATATGTTTGAAGAATATTCTTTCATATATAAAAATTTTCAATTACAATTTTTTTCTCCAAAGTGTTTAAATTATACAGAATATATAGAAATACCATATAAACTATATATTTCAGCTCTTTAAATCATGAAAAGGAAAAATAAAAAGGTCTACCAACCTTTTGAATTTTCTTTTGAATATAGAAATTTTTTAAATCTTTTCTCAGCTTGTTTGTTGGGCTTTCTATCTAGCCGAGCCCAAAGGTATGGCTGACCTAAAACAAAAATAAAAGGAAAAGAAAGGATAAGAGGCAAACAATAAAAATCATGTTGAAAGATGTTTCAGAATTTTTCTATAAATAAATAATAGTATCATCTTCTTTAAGAGAAGTACAGTCTAATGACATATACAACCTAGTGGTGCCTGATGTTATTAAAAGGCTGACTTCTTTGGTTAAAGCGTAACAGGGATGAGGTAAAAAGTAAATGGTTGGTCCTTTCATAAGAGCATTCCACAGCCACATTTTAGTAACTTGGCAATTGTGAGAAACCAAGGCTACCTTTTTGCTAACTGGAAATATTACCAGATAATTCTATTAACACCTTCTCTGTGTTGTGATGGTTAACTCCAGCAGGCCTGCAATTAGCCTGAACTTTTTTGCATGGCACTGAAACATACTAATAGTGTTGCTTTGTAATCCTGGGTCCAAGGTGTTTCACAGCAGTATGTCAGTATTCTTCAGTGATAATAGTCAAGACTGATGATTTACACCTCAGTGAGATCGCAGGAAGTCTCTGCTGTTGAGGCTGGTGACTTAGCAAGGAACATGCCTATGTGACCAGTAAAATATAAAAATCCTCAGTTAAGTCCCCACTTTGGACTTCTTGGTCCCTGCACACATCAGTGCTTCATCATATGAGACTGTGTCTGCCAGGGCCTTACAGAGGGAGGACGAAAGGAGCTTGCACCTGGCCTCTCCAGACCCCCTGCTGTGAGATATGCATCCTTACTTTTAAGGCCCTTACTATATTTTGTATCTTTTTTCTTAATAAACTATAGATTTGTTAACACTGTCATTTTGGATTTTGTGAGACTTCTTTAGCAATCCAACCCTGTTTATTGCCACTAGTATGCATACTCACATAAAATGATGCAACTGAAGCATCTTAATATAAAAGCCTCAAAAATCTTTTATTGCTCCCTCAATTATCTAAATCAGAAGTTTATTAAAAAATTATTATACTTTAGCTACGACATTCTATATTTACCTATTAACTACTCAGATAAATAATATGAAGAACCAGATTAAAAACAGATTCTGTCATTTCTGGTTGAATTAATCTTTGTTCTTTATACAAGTAAACATTAAAAAAAAAACATGCATTTCAGAAGAGATTTCCTGATACCAAGAATGTGTCCATTTTCATCAGGCACTGGATTCCCATTTAACTATTCTATTTCCTTGGCTGAAATCGACAAGTTACCTCACCAGCCATAAGTAATCACAAAGACCATTTTTCTTTTGAATTTTTTTTCCCTTAACTTAATTGACATCAATTTTTTAAGTTTCCATCTCTCTTAAAATACATTAAAATGAAGTCAGAGACATTGCCAGTGGGACTGGTACTACACTAGGCTCAGTGGAAAGGGGAGAAGCTTTAGAGCTGGACAAACCTAGGTTCCATGACCAGTTCAACCATTTATTAATATGGTCTTGTACAAATTCTTTAAGTTCTCTGAGCCTTGATTTCCTCATCTCTGAAATGAAGAAGCTTACTGTGAGAATTAGAGATAACATGTATAAAGCATTTATCATACTGCATGGCCTTTAATGAGCATCAAACAAATGTTGCCTTCCCTTCCTCCCCAAAAGAAAAGATACAATGATATAAAAAATAAATATAACAATTTTGACTTTATTATTTTACTATTATACTTAGGTTTTATCCAAGGGTTTATGAAGAACAAATACCCCATCTCAGACTTACGTGGTCTGTAAAGTGATTTTTAAAAAAAGTAATACTTATAGTACAACATTATAGTTTTATTTTACCTTTATAGGTAGTAACATAACAACATGTTCCATCCACTTTTTCTGTTGGAATTGCACTGTATATATCCGCATCTAATGCCTTGCGATTTATAGTTTCAGTTGCCAAAACTTTAAATGGCTTAAAAGAGAAAGAGAAAACTGGTTTAAGATAGACAGCTTCTTTGCCTTTACACACACTTTCACCTGGAATCTTTGTAATTTTATTAGTTCCAAGAGATACCTATTCATCTTTAAGGACAATTTAAAAACTCGCTTCTGTGAAGTGTTCCTAAATCACCTCTCCCTTCTATGCTATTCTAGCAAAACTTGTTTTTCCACACAGCTTTGCAATTATTTACATGTTTGTAATGTTAAGACTACAAGACTACTACAGAATTAGCTTGACACCAGGGATCCTGGCCTGTGCAGCTCTGCATCTCTAGCACAGACCAAGGCATTCAGCAAGTATTCAGTATGCTGAACCATTTGCTTGACAATTATCTACCAAATGTCTGCTATGGGTAAAGTATCATTCTTGGCACTGGGAATATAGAGGTGAATGAGAAAGTACCTGCTTAGGTGGAACCTGCATTTTAGTGAGAGGGATAACAACAAAGGGCAGAATATGATGTTACGTATGAGTGCTAAGAAAGAAAAATGGGGGAGAGAAAGAGAAGGTTAGGGTATGTTTTAGATAGGAGGGACAGGGATGCCCTTTCTGAGGAGGCAACATTTGAGCAGATTTGAAGTGACAGAATGAGCCATGTAAATATCTGAACAAAAAAGGCCCCAAGTCAGGAGGTTGCCTGATGTTTCAGAGTAGGGGTAAACTTAAGAAATTAGCCCCACTCTGGTACTGATTCATTCATTAAGGATTTATCACTAATTTATGACCCTGGTATCAGTGGACATCAATTATCCTTTGGTGACTGGGCCAGATGCCAAATGTATGTTTTATCAAACATCCTAGGCAAAAGATTACTCTGCACATGGAGCTCTTAATAGCACAAATACTCTTTCTCTAAGAATCAATTATCTACAACTCTTTGCTACTGACATGTCCAAAGGGCACACACAATAAGACACTGAGGGGCACACAGGGTTCTCTACTTGTCATCAAGGACTTTAGACTGTAACTGGAATACAAGGTATGTGTGTATAAAAATATGTAGTGAGTATCAGCTGGGTGGTCCTCTCTAATTTCTGGGCAAGAGAAATCACCGAGATGGCTGAGTTGATCAAAGATTGCGTGGAGAAGGTATGACTGGAAAAATTAAAAATACTCTACACATAATCCAGACAGAGTGACTAGCCTGAGCAAAAATATAGAGACAGGACTGTGCCTGGTATGTTCACAGGATGCAACAGACTTTGCTAGCACAAAGATTTCACTTTAAGTGAGAAAGCTGACTGGGCCTGATTAATGGTAGGCCTTGAATCACAGTTAAGAATATGGATGCTACACTATAAACTATACTATAAGCTATTCTTAGCTAGGGAGCGATAACAGAAGGGCTAATTTTTCCTGGTAGAGAGTACTTTACAAATTATACCCCTCCCCGCCAATATACAAAGTTGAGAATCAGCTGAAGTTGAGAATCACAGCTAGAGTGAACCACTATTATTAGATGAGATTGTGTCACATGGATTAGGTTTGTTAGGGCTTTAAAAAAAAAATGTTACAGACAATGAGGAGTAATTGTGAGTTTCTGACTAGGGAAGAATGGGGGATGATCATTCTCGGTGGCAAGTAAGACTAGTTAGGTAACAACAGTGATGACAGTAAAGAGGATGAAAAAGGCAGATGTTACAAAATAAAACTTATTAACTCGAGGAATTAAAAACAAGCATGAACTGACTACGAAGTTCACTCTTTAATTCAACAGTGCTTACCCTGTGACAGGTCCTAGAAGCTGGGAATACAGAAACACCAGGACGGTCTCTGCCTTAAAGTTCTTTTAGTCAAGAAGACATAGGGAAGGCCAGTGCCACTGATGTAGTGGGAATGCGGACGATGTCAAATGGACATGCTCATTTTGTATAATCAGTTGGAAGTATCCAGTTGATAACTGGGGATTCTGCTGATCAAGGGCTTTGCTACATATTAAAGAATTATCCTGATTCAGGCTACTGTGCATTAGCTCGCATATACTGAGGGCCTACTATGTGTAAAACATGGTGATAAAGAGTCGAAAACCTTGAGATTGGACCACCAAAACCGGAATCAAGTCAGTAATAACTGTTAACAATACACGGGGTCTAATCTTTAATGGCACTCTAATTAGGCCATCGAGTCCCGGTTACAACAGGTAAAGCAAATCTTCTAACGTCTCCAGTTTGTGACCACCCTCTTGGAAAGCAGTAAAGCTCGAACTGCGGTTATTATCTAAATTCTTAAACGGGGTCTCCTCAAAAGATGCTAACCTGAAAAGAGCCACGAAAGGAACACTATTTAGTATGTGAGTTTTTAACTTCCATGCGAAGTCAAGTTTGAATCGCCTGATCAGAAACATTCTTTCGCAGCTCCCCTCCCTTATAAATAAACAGGTAGAACTAAGCGCAGAGCCCGCGGGACCCCATTCCAGATCTCCCCTGCGAAATGCCCCCGGCCTGGAAGGCGGCTCCAACGCGCCCCGCAAGCGTCCTCGCTGGGTTCAAACGGAGCCAGCGCCGCGGGGAGGAGCTCTGGCGCGGCCGCGCCGCCCGGCCCAGCGCTCCCCGTTACCTGATACTCCCTTTTCGCGGAGGGCTCCTCTTTCACCTCCGTCACAAACACACACGGCATTTTCCGCTGCACTGAGCCGAGGCGCCTCATGGTGGGTCCAAGAGGCACTGCGGCTACACAGTATGCTTCCCAGCCTGGAGAAAGTCCCCAGCAGTCCGCCGCGACGCCCCGGACACTAACGTTCCACGCCCAGGACAGTGTCAGCTCTCCGCCTCGCCCAACCAGAACCAAGAGGCAGGGGTGCATACCCGGAAGCTGCCGCTCAGCCGCGCCGCCTTCTGGGAATTGAAGTGCCGCGGCGTCGAGGCGCAACCGGGTGAAAACCGGCGAGCGTCTCTCGGTTCTGAAAACCATGGAAAAACAAAGATCCGTTTCAGGCGTGTGTGTACTTAGCCACACTCAGTAAACGACGATATTTTTGAAAATTAAATAATGTCAAGTTGTAAGTGTTGAATTATTTCAGATGGCAATTTAACACCATTCTGAGGAAACCTACTTTTCTGTTCTCTTCAGTAAATTCCCGGGGAAGCTCTGTAGAAGTTACAAATATCCTCAGCAGAAAGAAAACTAATTCCCCTGGGAGAATGTTAGAAAACTCTACGTCTAAAACACATGTTACCAAAAATATTTTTAAAAAGTTACCATTTGCTTCATTGCGCAGCATAATATGATGAAGATCTGTTCTGATCTTTCCGGAGTGAGCGCGGAGTGTAGCCTTAGACTAATCCAAAGCCACGTGAAAACTATTTACCAAATTTCAACCCCAAACTTTTTATAAGAATCCTGTTTATTTTAAATGTGAGCTCCAACACGGTTCAAACGGCAGGAGTTGTTGTAGTCAATAGCTACAGTGTTAAACAACGGCTTTATTTGGCTTTATCATTCAAAAGAATGTTGAAGGATAAGTGATAAAATGACGGAATAAAATAAATATTGAATGTTTAATAAAAGTAGCTTTTCTATCTTATTGCAGCTTTTAGTCCTCAGCCTAAAGTTGTAAGGGAGATTTGATTTTATTGCCGTGTTTTAATATGCTTGGACAAAGACCCAAGCATCCAACCGTCTAGCATTTTACTGAATTAGCCCTTGCAAAAATTCAACCACTGCATCTTACCTGGAGGTAGCTAAATAATAAGAGAGTTTCCAAAGAATAAAATAACTCTGAAAAAAGTTTACTGTTCTTTACTGTATTCAGTGAGGAGAGAGGGAGGAAGAGATTTGTCATTTCAAAGTATTTACTTTCTCTTCTAATATCTTTAATTTTCCCATAGGAAAACAAAACAAACCAAAAAAGACAAAATAATAAAAGTTAAAAAAAAAAAAAAACCCTTCCTGATGCTGGCTGTGAGATACTGGACCAGAAACTTTTAACCATTTTATAGTCAACCACCAGTGACTTTATTGTTCTTTGAGGGAAATCCTGAAAAGTAGCTTGATTCATGGGTTTCAAGGAGCCAACAATTAACTCCTACAACTATCAACTATTTTTTCCCAAACTGCCACAGAATCTTCTAGGTTCAACATTCTGTCATTTCTGAGAAAGGATCATCTTCCAAAACATTCCATTTGCTCTTTCAATAGTAGCAGCAAGGCGACAATCTCTCCAGAGTAAATTTCATCAGTGCCTGGAGCAAGGCCTCTGACAGAAACAGGAGCCCAAGGAAGGGGAGAGCAATAGAACCAATTCACACCTGTCAACTGGACTTCTACATATTGCCTGAGTTTCTTAAACCTGAGGAGCCAACAAGGAGGTGCTACCAGCTCTTGGTATGTACAGTGGCATTGTAGGATTACAAACTGGAAGAAAGACTTTCTTCTCTGACTGATGTATCAACGTTCTGGCATGCACCAAAGATGAAAGACACTCAAGAGTCTACTTTAGCCAACACAACGTACTTAGAAAATTTGCAGACCTACTCCAGCTGTGGAGGCATATTTGCCATTACTCTTCATTTTAGGAAGTAAAAATTCTCCTGGTCAGGGTTGTAGCTTTCCCTGAAAGACTAGATTGAATTTCACAACATGAAAGAAGAGAAAAGATAAGGAAAAGGAAAAAAAAGAAAAAGGGAAGGAAGGAAGGAAACACAAAATAAACGAGGAAAAAAAGAAGAAATTAGGGTTCCAGGTATTCCAAGGACTACCAGAGTATACAGATGTATTTACGCTTCTCTGCAGTGACAGAACTAGTTCCCCACTTAGGTTTGGTGAGTTTTTACTGTTTCTAATGGAATATAGCTTTTCACACCTAACTACATGAGGTAAAAGCATTTTTTCAGCCTTTCCCGTATATATACCATAGATTCTCACAATGGCTTTAATCATGATGTTACATGTAATCATACAGTAATGGTGTTTGATAGCAGTATTTTAAAACAGTCCAATGCAGCTACAAGTTCATAGGTGGACGGGGAATTTATTTTAAGTCAAAGACCATTTGAAACTATTCCTTAGGGGTGTTTTTCCTAGTAGTCTACGTGCTTAAGATAGGTACTTTGTTGTTGTAGAGTTAGAATATAGGGCAAAACAAAAAGTCATGATATTATACTTTTCTACATAGCTTTTCTAATATTCTCAAGGATTTAGCCAGATCTTCATTTTCCATTCTTTATTTACTTCCAATACTGCCAAGTTCTTTTTTATTTTTTCATATTACAATTATAGACCAACTCTTCTCTAGAATGTAGTTTGTTTCTAGATTTTTATCTTTGATAAAACATTGTATTCCAGAAGTTCATCCAACTTTGTCTTATTTAACCAATGTAGGAATCCTTATTTAACTTGGTCTTTTTAAACTTCCAGTTAAAAACACATCCCAACTTAAAAATACATTTTGATCTAGTATTATCTGTCATTTCTATGGCATCTTTTAAGACAGCTTCTCTGAATATTTTTATTAATCTCTGCTAGGTTCTAATTCTTTTAATAAAGATACTAAGATGAAGACCTCAATAACTGCTGATTGAAATCTCTCATTCTTGGAATCAGTACTTCACTTTGTTTTCAACAAAGTTTCAGAATTTACAAGCACCCTGGAAACTTTATGCTATAGAAAGAAGCTTTCCTCTTTTTCTGATGAATGAAAAATGAATGGGATGTGGCTACAAGATATATAAGTAGTCCAATTTATTTTCAGGTGTCTATTAATATAGGGCAATCTGAATTTGAATTTTCACCCAAATCAGTGGATAGCAGCAAGTACATATTTTAATAATTTATTATCTTGAAATATGGATAACACATTTCCCTATTACTTATATTTAATATTTTAGTTTTGTTCCCAAACTATATATAGAAATAAGAGTTTAGAAAATAGCGATTTACTAGTGAAATATTTATTACTTTTTAATTATTTAAGTATGAACTGCTTTATGTTCCATTTTCAATCAGAAGATTGGCAGACAAAATATCCAGTTTATTTTCATGAGCTTTTTTTGGTTAATATACTAAAATTGAAAGTAAGAGAAATACTGTACACTAAGCTAAAACTAGCCTACAGTTACATGTGAGGTCATTTATGATGAGCAAACAATGGCTTAGGTAACAATGAGGAAAATTCTGGAAGTTTGAGTTTGTATGCTGACTAGCAACCACTTTCAACATTTCTGCAAAGCTAGAGAAGGTATCTTCTAATTTAAATTTCTTTAAGAAAGATCTAATGTGTAATATACTGTCAACAGGAGGTCAGTTTTAAAGGATTATTACTGATAACCTGAAAGACTGTGGAAAAGAAACTTTTCCCCCCCCTTACACACTGATAGTTCTTGTATTTGCATTCCTGCAATTCTTGTATATATCTATATATATAAACATTGGATTAGCAACAAGAGAGTTGAAAATGGCAGAAGTTGGGAATGACTGCTATTTCTTTTTTAATTCCACATGCATAAAGGTAAATATTGTACAATTTACAGTACTTCACATGCTTAAGCTTTTTAGTAGAATGGAGAATATCAGTAATTTGCACTGTTGAATCAAAATGAACTAATTTCCCACAAAATATTTTGTGTACTTTAAAGTAAAAGCTTGTCATGTATTTTCGATATACTGAATTTCTCTAAGGAAATCTGGGATAATATAAACTTGTGATTTGTTTGAAACTCCCCTTATCTACGCCAGTTAGATGTCTATGGCTTTTTAATTGACATGTGGTACTTTTGTCTAATTATGGCTCTTTGAGACATAAAATCCCTGATATTGAAACATGTTGATATACATCCTACTTTTTTGGTTAATGTGGTTGCAACCATATAAATTCATATTGTTGAATTCAGGTCACTATCAAGCTTAGTTTAATAAATCTAATTGATTCCCTGTTTGAAATTCATTAACCTAATTGCTGAATTTTTCCCTGTTAAAAGTCTAAGAAACACCAAATATTTAAATATCATGGAAAGAAGGAAAAGAAGTAGTATAAACACATTGGTCAATTTATAAACATTAAATAAAGCTCATAAAGTTAAATAGGAAAAAAAATGTAAAAGTAATCCAAGGGATTAGGATTAACAAAACCAAGTAAATATAGAAACTCTATGATCGGAGCTTCCTGCTTATGGTAGAATGAACCCATGTGTCTGGTTTAAAGTGTTTCATCTTTGCTAGGCAACCTGAATAAAGTCAACCTCTTTGAAGATACAAATTAGATTCACTTCTATTACCTGTTATTTTAAGACTATACCCTGATATGATAAATAATAATGGAAGTTATGTTCTACTTGGCCAGAGAGTTTAGTCTGTTTCACACTGGCACAGTGGTTAAGAGCTATGGCTGCTAACCAAAAGGTCAGCAGTTCGAATCTACTAGCTGTTCCTTGGAAACCGTATGGGGCAGTTCTACTCTGTTATATACGGTCACTGTGAGTCGTAATCGACTCGACGACAATGGGTTTGTTCTTATTTTTGTTTTCTTTTTTTTGATATCCCCAAGTACCTAGCACAGTGACTAATATGGGTAGTAGAATCTTAATAAATAATTGAGTGAATGAATATAGAATAATAATAGAAATCACAATATCTTATCTCTCATAATTCATACAACAATCCTGTAAGGAGGGTATTTTATTCCTTCTTTACCGATGAGGGAACTGAGGCACAGAGAGGTTGAGTAATGTATTAACTTTATAACTATGGGCAAGTAGTGGAGCCTGAGATTTTGAATACTGGTTTTTCTGGCTTCAAATCCCCTGCCCACAACCCTGTTCTTTGAGATTCACAGGTATACTTAAAAGGAGGAGGAAGTGAAGACGGGCTTGAAAGGGGGGTAAAAGAGAAGGAAAAATAATGGAGCATGTGTCGAAAGACAGAAGAATTTAATGGAATATTTTTATCATATGTCACCCACCTCTTTTCCTAAGAGACAGTGACCTGCAGTTTTTCCAACTGTGGATCTCTGTGTGTCACTAGCCTCATGGCTCTATCCTTAGTGAGCCATGTGGGGTTATAAAAGTAGTATTGTATCAGTAACTTTTGGCATGTTGTACCATGTAATCATTAGATTATCTTATCAGTATCTCACTAAAATTGGATTAATTTGCTAAAATTTAGACTTATACTCTTACATTTTATAAGGAGCCCTGGTGAACGCAGTTGTTAAAGTGCTTAACTGCTAACTGAAAGGTCAGTGGTTTGAAACCACCAGCAGCTCGGCGGGGAAAGATGTGGCAGTCAGCTTCCATAGAGATTTACAGCAGCCTTGGAAACCCTATGGGTTGGTATGAGTTGGAATTGACTCAACAGCAGTGGCTTTTTTTTTTTTTTTTTTTGGAAATCGGATTCTCCAGTATAGGAGTCTGGATCGGCACATTGACTAAATGGTTTTTTTTTTTTTTTTTTTTGAAGCGGGGGTTTACTGGTACATTTGTAGTATATATTTTTCTGACTCTAATTTGATATTCTGTATTTTCAATTAATTAGCAACTCTAGCATTAATACATTTTGAGTTTTCTTCACTGATTACTTGTTTTCTTTTAGGGTTCCCAGTGCCGGTTCCGACACTCTGAAGAGGCCCTTGGCAGTGACACTGTGTGCTCATTATGGAGAGAGGGAAAATGTTTAGATCCGCTTTGCAGATTTAGACACATGGAAATGCAGGTAGAATTACTCAGCATCATCATTTTTGTTAAACGTGTCACCTTTCAGTAATATTGAACTTTATTTTTACAACGCAATAAGGAAATGATTTCTCCATTACCAATGGCAAATATTTAATCTCTGGCATTTAGCATTTTGCTAAACTTAAATTCTTAAAAGAATGGAGGAACATGTTTTAGGAACATCCATTGCATCTTTTAAAGAAAGGGCACAGCTAAGAAACACTGAAAACTGGGAAACACACATTATCTTAAATCTATAATTAAAACTGTATGTTATAGCAGACTGCATTTATTATGAATATGGCATCTGACTATTACATTTCCCCCACCCCATCTGTCTAGCAAAACTGCAGCATTTCCTGCTTCTGGGAAACTCAGCCTCTTGGTTGTGTGAAGATCAGTTGTATCTTTTATCACAGCAAACCTCGAAATATTAATGGACTATTTTTGCCACCAAGTAGCAGTGAGTATATTTTTTGAATAACATGGACATAGCATATTAAAATCTGGTTTTGGAATAGCAGCAGAGAATGACATTAAATAAAATATGACAAGGTAAGTAATGCAGTTTTATAGCCAAATGATTATTTGGGATGATTCTATGAAGAACCATGAGATGACGCTTAGAATGAATCATTAAGGAGCTAACAAGATGTTGAAGTGAACAAAGAAGACGTTAAATTTTCTCTGATTTTGTACGTCTGATTTGAAAAGTGCAAAAGCTACTGGTTTCACCAGATAAAAGGAGACTGTGTCCCATCAAAGCACCATGCAACTGGAGCCAAGCTTAGAGGTTAGGGCCTCACTGATGCTCCTGTAAATGTGCAGAAACCTATGTGGTAGGTGGGGAGAGCAAAGGTGTGCTCTGTATGACACACTTCTGCTTCTGGCAGAACAGCTATATATTTTGCTTCTTCCTAAGAATTCAATTGTAGAAAAGATAAAATTTCATTGCTGCAAAAGCTAAAATAACATTGCCTTAGAGCATTTACCTCTATAACAGTGCAGTTAAGTGTCCATGACACAATTCAACTCAATTGAATGGTACTGGAAGCCCTGGTGGTGCAGTGGTTAAGTGCTCAGCTGCTAACTAACTGAAAGGTCAGTAGTTCAAACCCACCAGCCACTTCATGGGAGAAAGACGTGTCAGTCTGCTTCTGTAAAGGTTTACAGCCTTAGAAACCCAGTGGGACAGTTCTACTCTGTCCTATAGGGTTGCTATGAGTTGGAATCAACCGGATGACAATGAATTGGAAGTGATACTGAGACTCTATGATGTGGTAAACCTTAAGCTAGTTTCTGGGAAGGGGATGCATAAGACATCATACCCTAAAGGAGTGAATGGCAAGAACCTTACTCAAGAGGTTATAGGTGTCAGGTTTCCATGATGCTGTAGCTACTCCATTCTCCTTCTATGGCCACCATATTTCTCTTAATGTCATGGTTCTAGAAATGAACTAAAATATATCTGTACTTCAGGATTTTAAAAATTGGCTTCAGATAGTTCTCAGCAAATGGATAGCTAAAATTAGGTCTCCTTGCTGTAGTCTTCTGGAGTACGCTCTACCTCATGTTATTCATCATACGCATAAAACCTGGATAAATGTCCTCTTACTCACTAGACTGTAAACATCACAAGGATGGGGATCATAATTAGTTCCTTACCACTGTTTTGCAGTGTCTGAAACACAAATGCTCAGTAAAATTGGATATATGGATAGAGGATGGATAGATGACTACTGAAAGGTAACCTGCTGGGATTGAAGTTACTGTGCCTACTTAAGTGATTAACTCGGCCTCATATAGGACAGAGTAAAACTGCTCCCATAGGGTTTCCAAGGAGCAGCTGGTGGATTCGAACTGCCAGCCTTTTGATTAGCAGTCTGAGCTCTTAACCACTGCAGCACCAGGGCTCCTGGTTTATATATGGTGTGACTTTTTCTCGTGAGAGACATTGTACTAAATTCTTTATATCAAGTCAGTAGTTTGCTCTCTAGTGGTGTGTGGGTAAAAATTACTGTGTTTTCAACTAACAGTTTCAGGATTAGAGGAAGAACAAAAACTGCATCTCTGGGTAAAAGAAGGATGCAGTGCCTATGTAGCTTACAATTACTGTGCTCCCCATTATAAGATATGCCTTGGCATAAGTGATGTAGAGATAAATTTTATTATTCTCATTTATTAGGCATAGAGTATGAGTTGAAAATAAATAACTTCTGGCTTTCCTCGAAGTCTCAGCTCCTTCAACAGGTGTTAAGGCTGAGGCCTGATGCTTGAAATGAGCTTTTCTCTCTCCCAGTAGGGGTCAAAACTGGATCCTTGCATTTGGACCACATCATTTTCTTTCTCAGGCATTCTACCTCCATTGTATGAGGAGATTAATGGGATTCATAGGCTGAAATTAATACCCTCCTTGCCTGTATGTGCAGGGAACAAGGGAGAGCCCCAAACCCCTACCTCAACCTCCAAACATACCCTCATCATGCCCACTTACCTGTTCTGAATCTATTCTGCCCTTTGTTACTGTTTATGTCTGCCAACACAAGAAGCCCCATCTCTCAAATGACTTATTCCTGTACTTACCTATTCTGTCCCTTTTTCCCACCCCTTCCCAACATTCCATTATCCACAAAATCATTTCTCAACTTCTTCCCTTCATCTTTACACTCTAATGTAAAAGTGATTTGCCCCCAGGCTCCTGCTTCTTCTGTGGTACTGTCATGTGGTGGCTGTTTATTCTCCCAATTCTCAAGTGCCACTGGACCCGAAGGTGAGATGGGAGTTGCCTTGTGCATCGTTGCCAGTTTCATACTGTTCTCTGTCAATCCACACTAAAACCATCGAGCATGAGTCTTCAGATTATATTACCTACTATATCCCGCAATGTTGCTGTTATTTGCGTTTGTCTACAACCAAGTCATTCCTTCTCGTTTTTTAACAATTTGAAAATGTCACTTTAACAAATTGTCACTTTATCAGTACTCCTGTGTCAATTCTTGGCAATTTCAATATATAAATATATGATCTATCCATCACCCTGGCTTCTCAGTTCCTTGAACCCCTCTTCTCCACTGATACTATCCTACCCCCTTCTCAGTAACTCACTCTTACGTCATACTCTAAACACTACTACCCTTCAACCCATCATCTCAATGTCCTGCATCTCACTCTCTGGCCTATTTTTCTATTTTATTAGAAGCCTGACTTAAATAATGCTATAAAAACAACTGGAACTTCCAGTACACTGATTCCAGTATTTTTTTCACTATCTCTCAACCCCTCAGTAATCTTCTTTCATCTCAAACTGATAATCCGTTTCTTACATACACCTTCCACTCTCTTGCCACTCTCTCACTTCACTGTACTCACCTGGCAACCATAATACTGGTTAAGCACACTCTTCACATACTCAGTACCTGCATCCATTGCAGCTGAATATGGCTGGAGAAAAATACACGACCATGTTGATGGGTTAAATCCATGACCATGAACCTCAAGTGAGCCTTTAATGCTGACCAGCAGTCATACTACATGGTACACCCTCAGTTCATTCCTACTCTCCTAGACCATTATTTTACTACTTCATTCCTCTGCTTAAACTTCCAACACCTCCTCCTCCTTCTCACTCTCAGATGATGATTTTACTGGACTTAGTGTGTCTTACTGGACTAAGAAACTTAGGCAATGAGAAGTTCCACAGATTTCCATCACTACTTCTACTCATCTACTAGCATCTGTACCTCCTGCTTCTTCCCCACTCTTACCATATTCCTATCTAAAACCTATGTTTCCATGTGTTAACTAGATTTTAGCCCTCTTGTCTACTCAAGGGTACTGATTCAGCAATTCTTCCTCTCTCTTCTACATAATCATTTTTTCCACTCTTACTGGATGCTTTTAGCAGCATTCAATGCATTTATTTCTGTAATTATTTTTAAAATTCATTCTTTCTTCTCTTGATCCATTTTCTCCCAAGTGAACAACCCATTTTTTCTCTTTGCAGTAGTTCTCAAAGTTATCTATTATTGCTGTCACCAGATCCTCCATTCTCTCTTAATTTCATGTTAATCAGGCTTTTTAGACCCTATCACCAGTGATACACATATTTTAAATCCTGTAGTCAATTCTCTCTTGAACCATTAACAGTATTAGACACATCTGATCACCCCTTTCTCCTTGATATAATTTCCTTACTTAGTTCCCAGGACACTATACCCTTTTTCTTTTCCTCCCACATGCCTAGTTCCCTGTTGTCCCTCTCCCTTGAATATTTCTTCCCTTATCCCCAACCTCTTAAATTTGGAGTGTTCTAAGACTTAGTCCTTGGTCGTCTTCTCTCTCTACTCCCTTGGTAATACTAGTGTCATGGTTTTGAGTACTATCCAAATACCAATGACTCCCAAATTAATAAATCCATTTCATATCTCTCTCCTAAACTTCAGATCCCTATATTAAACTGTCTACTTGAACTCTTAACTCAGATAATTTAAGGACATTTCACTCTTAACATGTGCAAAAACATTAAATCATAATTTTACCACCATACTCCCAAACCTGCTACAACCACTTGCTCTTCCTATCTCACTTTGATGGCAACTCCATCCTTCTGGTTGCTCAAGTCATCTGAATCATCCTCAAATTCTGTTTCTGTCACATCCCACATCCAATCCATATGGAAATTCTGTTAGCCCAACCTTTCTAATATATCCAGACTCTGACATTTTTCATCATCTCTACTACTCCCATCCTGAACTAAGTCACCATCTCCTGCCTGGATTACTGTAATAGCCTCCTAACTGGTTTTCCAGCTTCAACTCTATGTCTGTTCAAAGCACAGCAGCTAGAGTGATACTCTTATAGGTAAATCAGATCATGTCACCCCTCCACTCAAACCCTCTAATGTCTTTTCATTTCATTCAGAGTAAAGTCAGAGTCCTAACAATAGCTTGCATGACTCTACTTGGTTTGGCTGCCTGTTACCTCTCTGAATTTATCTCCCACAATTCTCCTCCTTGTTCACTCTTTTCTAACCACACTAGTTTCCTTGCTTTTCCTAGAACACACCAGTATGTTCCTGCCTTAGGGACTTTGCATGAAATGCTCTTCCCCGTATTTTTACGTCTTCAAGATCTTGTTCAAATATCACCTTTCAATGAGGTCTATCCTGAATACATTTGAAAGGTAGTTAGTCTCCCCTCCTCCTCCCTAGGAGTTCCTGAGTAGTACAGATGGTTAAGTGTTGGACTACTAACCAAAAGGTCTTGGTTCAAACCACCCAGAGGTACCTCAGAAGTAAGGCCTCACAATCTGCTTCCGAAAGGTCACAGCCTTGAAACTCTATGTAGTGCAGTTCTACTCTGCAGACATGAGGTTTTCATGAGTTGGAATCGACTTGACAGCAAATAACAACAGCCACCTTTTCCCTACCCATTCCCAATCTTCCTTGCCTCGCTCTACTTTCTT